CCAAAATGATCAATGAAACCTCCTGTAAAGAAACAAACAAATTGTCTGATTAATTCCATGATCCATTCTCAAATTGCTGTAATTGTGGTCACAAAAGATCACGGAAACAAAATCATGTTCAAGTCTATTCAGAGTTCACCAATTGAGCATTTATTCATAGATATTTATAATGAAACGGTCATTCGAACCTGGAAATCTCAAGAAATTGATTTATACTGCAAAAATCTTTTATTAAATCATTTATTGAAATAGTAATCAATAATCAATAAAGCTGGAAGCTTGTTATGACTGTGAGATGTTTACGTAATAATAAATAACAGAAATGAGCTTTAGAAACAAGTGATTAATAAGATTCAGATACACGATTCAATCAGCAAGTGTGTAGGCATAAGAGACTTAAAGAATGTAATAAAAGTTGATTTGCACAATCGTTTGTGATTTAAATGTAATGTTTCTTAATCCTCAACTAGATGGTAATTAAAAATTTCTTTCTTTCAAAGTCGCATTCGAGCAAGCATTCGAGTTATCTTGTTTACGTTTCTACTTTTTGTTGTTATTGTTTTTATCAATCTTTTCAATCATTTGTGACTCAGATTTACTCGTTACCTACACAAACTAAAATATAATTAAATGACAAGATACCTGAATTTGTGTCGCATGTCAACAATAATTAAGGTTCATGGCTTGCTAATCGGTCATTCGACTTTTTTAGCCTTGGTGGAAGATTTTTTATTTGCAAATGTTTTTTAAAAAATATTTAAATTGACGAAAACTTCCTCTATGGAATTTCAGACTCAATTAAACTTGATTGGTGGCAATGACATTGGTTAGAATTGCTACTGAAATTCTCCAAAACAATCAAAATCGCCAAGATTTTATTGGTTTAGTAAATTCCATTGACTAGTCTCGCACTTAATTAAGTATATCGAAGACAATGCAGAGCTAATGAATACAATAAGGGATATGCTGGCAACTTATTGGATATTTATGATTATTGGCAGTTTATTTACTTTACTTTGTTACCGCTTTATTCTTTTTTTTGCTATTTGCAAACTCAGCAATGTCAATTGGTAATGTTGATTAAAGTACAAACGATTATTTTTAGCTTTATTCGGTATTGTTTACATTTCGTATTTAAATGCACCAGAAGATTGTGTGGGTGGAATTTCAATGAAGTGATGAAGTCATCATCATCAATAAGAATAAGCAATAGATTCTGATCAGAAATATCTTTAAAGCTTTTCACATTCAATTTCATTTGATTGCATGAAACTATTTCAAGGGTAGCAACATGTCATCGACTACTACACAGCGTGACAGTTAAAGCCAAAGACAGACGACTGCGAGTTGAGTTGGATGCTAACTGCGAAGATCTAAACGCCTGACGAAGCCATCAAAAGAATCGAAAGTCAAATACTTGAGTTGGAGTCGAAACAATGAGAGGCTTTCAGCTCAATTTATTACGCATAACAACGCAAATTTCAATGACTGTGGTGACGAAAACATCAATCAAAAGGTCGTCTCGCTTCTGTTGCGGTGTTGATGGAAATTCATTGTTAGCCTCGAAATATTTTTTAGAAAGAATTTTGGCTTTCACTGATGACGTCAACATTTTAATTAACAGAAATATAAATCATAATGTGGGATCGTTTAAAAACGAGCGAATTCGTAATGTTTAATGTCATGAATTTTGTTTTATCCACAACAGCAACTTTTATTTTTACATCAACAATTTATTGCATAATGCCTGTAATTAAACCCTACACATTATGATGCAAGCTTAGAAACGTGATGAAAATTAACATGTTCAAGATGAATTATCAATAACTGGTTGTAGAATCGATAAAGTATCGCAAGAATTGAGTTTAAAGCAACAAAAGGTTTGAAAATGATGCAAATATTAAGTCGAAGTCAGATCGACAAACAATCTTTTTTCATTTTTGCACACAGAACTCATCACAACTCACGTACACGTACTGGTGTTTAAAACAAGGAATAAATTACGCTTTTGCACGTTTTCAATTCTTCTCTAAACAAGCTTAAGTGTTTCCGTTTCAAAGCAGAATGTATGAAAATTTGTATTTGTAGATGTTTAAATTATCATTAGAATACAATCATCAACGTGTCTTATTTTATTTTATCAATGGTAAAATTTTGAGAACATTTTCAGGCCTATTAACGCAACAAACTTCCCCACAAATTTCTTTAAATCGTTCATGACTCATTGAAACAAACGATATTGTCCTAACTAAATATTTTATTCTAATTACCACCAAATGAATAGGAAAATCGATTTAAATTAATTATTCATGAACAACAACAACTCGTAACGACTTGAGAATTATTTTTTCCTTGAATCTCTTGATTAAATATTTATTCAGCAGATCTATTTAACTTGGACAATTGTGGCACAAAGAAAAGTGGTTCAAATGTTTCGAGAATCTAGAAAATCTTGGTGAACGAGTAACTTCTTTAGAACTTGAACGATAACTTGATGGAACAAATACCTATATTGAAATTAAGATTTATCCAAATAATTTATGAAGTTGAAGAGATCTTTGGAAACTTGGAAAGCAATCTAAATATTCTCTAAATAAATTAAGAAATGTTAGGCGTTAGCAAAAATTATCACGATTTCATTCCAAACAAGTTAAGCAACTTGAATTGTTAAAAATTTCTCTGCCTTTTTGAAATTCTAAAGAATTTATTTATTCTTCACTTCAGTGGCAGTTTTTGAAAGTAAATCTTAAGTATTTAAAAGGCAAATTTGAATGTAAATTAAATTGCGAAAGCTGCAAAGGAATTTTCAAATATAAATTAATGAGATTGAAATTTTATTTCATTCAATCGAATTTAAGAATTATCAATTTGTGATATTTCTTACTTGGCTTACATGCACTTTGATCATTTAAAATTATTTTTAATTTCCTTCACGACAGGAAGTTTTATTTTATTGTTTATTGAAGTGACAAAAATTTCATTACAATTATTTCAATCAAAAATATTAATGTGAAAAAAGAAGTTAATTTTAATTATTTAGCAACAGGATTCGACCAAGTTCAGTTATAAAACGTTCCAGGATCGCATATCAAACTAAGCTTGATCATAACTATCACGACTTTCATTCTCATGAAATCGAAGGCATTTGACATCAGCGAGATTTTCTTGGCAATTCACAAAACTTGCTTTATGTATTCGCAAAGATTTCATATCTTCAGTGTGCTCACGTAAAGCTTTGCAGACACTGGAGTCAACTTCGATCATTGGTAGGTACAAGTGCCGCAGCTTCACGTTCGTCAGCAACTTTACAATGTCAGAATTTTCTAAAGCATTTTTAATTTCAATTGTGTGTACATTTGGATTGTTAGCTGCAATTTCTTCCCAGTCAGGAGTGAATTCCAATTTATCAATGGTAATTGATTGTAAGCTTTGCGATTTAATCTGGTGTAATTTTTGAGAAGGGCCATAAAGTACTAAATGCTTCAATCGTGTTAATACATTCAAAACTTCATGCAAATTCATAGATCCATTTGTTCTCAACATTTCAACATTAGGAACGTGCTTGAAAATTTCTTTTAGAACATCTTCTTTCTCTCCTGACAGTGCAAAGCTAGGAAAATTGAGTACTTTAATATTTGTGTTGATTTCAAATCGCTCATATAGGGGCGGTTCATCATTGGGGCAGATCATTGGACGATTGAATGTCAATGAAGCAAGTCTTTTGAATTTGGAAAAAATACATTCAAAGAGGAAATCGGGCAATGAGCAACCAAGTTCCAACCTTTCAATCGTATCCGAATGGAATTCAAAAAATTTCAACATATTATAGTAATTGATAGCTCCAATTTCTTCATAACTGTCATCCAATGTAAGTTCCTTCAATTTAAAAGTAAAGTTTTCAGTAGCAATAGAAATTTTCAACTGTTCAGAAAAAAAATTTGGAGGAAATGGTACTAAATCAAAACATTTTAAATTCTTTTGATAAATCAGAAAGTCTAAAAGAATCTTCACATTTTCTTGTTCATTAGCATCCATGTAATCAATTATTTCTAATGAATTGATTTGGGTTTTTTTGAAGTACTTTAGTAATTCAATATCACTTGCATATAAATACAATGTTTCCAATTTTTGAAGATTAGGCAAATGATCTTCGAAGAAATTTTTTGTGAATCTTCCTTGAGTACTTAAATCTATAAAGCTGATTTTTTTCAAATTCGGCATGGTACTCAATACATCACAAAATATTATGAAATGGTGCAATTCTCCAGACCACATAACTAAGTTCTGAACATTGCCGCCATGTTTTTCAAAAAATTTCATCAAACGATTGCTTCGATTGTTTCTCATTTCAGCATAATCATAAAGCTGAATTGATTTAAAATTTCTGTTGCTTTTTAAGAGGACTTCAACCCATGGCTCTTCAATTCCTCTTTCGTTTTCGAAATTCAATTTCAATTTCCAACCCATTTTGGAGGATATTTCATTCCATCTAGAAACACATTTCAAGCATTCTTTCAGCAAATTATGAAATTAGAGAAAAAGATTAAAAATTACCTTTTGCATGTAAGTGCAGCAGCCTTTAACGATTTACTACTTAGATGGCTCAGAATGTTTTCGATTGTTTCCTCTGGAAGATCTTGAATTGTTTTTTTCTTATTAATTGCCTCCATTTTTCAATAATAAATCCAGAAATAAACGTTGTAACCTTTCAATCATCAACTTGCAGTATTTCGTTAAAAATTCATCGAAAGTTTCGTTCAAAACAAGTTAAAGCCAAGACACAATTTGATGGTTTTTAATTAAGTTCTTAAAAGATGACAAAGGGGTTAAAACTTTTAATTTCCTTTGAACCGTTACAAATAAATCTTTAAATAATTTGGAATATTCCAGTGTTTTTCATAAAGATGTCCTGGTAATCTTATCTACTTTGGTATTTATAAAACCGCAGAAGAAGTTTCCCAGTTTGGAAAGATCGTATATGACTTTTCCACAGATTCTCGTGGACGACGACATCAACGCAGAACAGCATCATAATGAAAGACGTAACGATAGAAAGAGAATAAAATGTGTTTTTGTCTTCCACACTAAGCTTTCGGAGACTCGAGAGAAGTCAAGAAAATGGGTCATGAGAAAGTGTAACAACAAAATGAACCGAAAAGTCCAAAGAAGAAACCCAAATAAAAACATTTCAACTCGATTCACGTCTATGTTTGTTTCGGAATCAGATTTATGATCTTCAAAGCATTGGATTAAAATTCTTCTTAGGACAACATAAACTCAATGAAATAAATACAAGATTCGATTTTTCAGTGAAATCTTTTAGATTCTTATCAACTTATTGATTTAAAAATTTCATTTCGTCCTTGTAAAATTTCTCTGGAATATATTTTTAAAAGATAAATATTTTACAACATGCCATCGGAATTAAAGTAAAACAGGTTCCCTCAAAGTTTCATTTTATACTTTCCTCGACATCAAATACTTAACATTGTGAAGTGTTGTTTCTTGGTCGAACTCAAAATATAAATGAAACTGAGACTGAGAATAAACCGGTTTTAAGACGCTCATGAATAAGTAATTTCACAGAAATTAATTTCCACCTTTTAACTCAACAACAGACCTTAAAATAATTCTTATTGTGATCAACGATGTTAATTCTGTTTTATACTCAAAGAAAATGGTAAAGAACTCTCGAAAAAAAAATTAAAGTAAACATAACATGGCATTACAAACAAGATCAGTTCACAGAGAAAAAAATGAATGAAAGAAATCTTTGACCATGAAATACACAAAAAGATTTTGAAACAAAAAAGAAATGAAAATCAGTCAGAAGACAGGTTCAACATTTGTTTTCAAGCGTTAGCAGCATATTGAGAAAGTTAAGAACAACATAATGGAAGAAGAGGGAGAAGAAGGGAAGAAGATGATTCCAAATAAAATTAAAGAACCGTCACTCATTTTATGCTTCTTGAATATTTAAGAAGCTTCTATACATATAAGGAAGGTTTTTGAACCTTCCGGTTG